TTATCACAATAACAGAAATCTAATTCTGCAAGAATGCTTGTAAGCCAGATATTTGGAGCTGTCTGCATACCAGGTGCTGTGCTCAAATCTTCACACATATTTAAACCTCAGAATAACCAAATAATCTAGTAAGAAAGCTGAATCCTGTTGGAAAACCGACTTTAATAACTGGAGTCATGTGTTGAGTACATACCATCTATACTAGTAGCTACCCCAGCCAAGACTCTTAAGATAAGGGTGGTGTGAGCCCTACTTTAAATAGCTATAAGAAATAGAGAAAGAAACCAGTGTGTTTTCCTGCATTACAGAAGTCACCTGATGACTCATTGCTGTTGCTTTCACTAACCCTTATTTCCATTTCTTTGGTGTATTAGTATGTTTCTACACCCAGCTCCCACTCTCGCCTATCACTGATTTATCAATATATTTGAGATAGTGAGAGACTGATGCTATCAGTCTATGAACTCTTAATCCAAAACTTTTAGGGAGATCCTCCCCTGCTGCCACACTAATCATCGCCTGTGACTACCTGACTGCACTGATTGGGAGTAGGTAAGCCCTGATCTCTGGACTGGACAGCCCAGTTCTCTAGCCCCTAGGCCCCAGAGGCACATTCCATGCCCCTCCCCGCCCCACAGCCATTGCAGCTCTAGAGATGAGGCAGCAGCCCCCTTCTCCACCCCCTGTCGAACCTTCACCTACTGCACCAGTGACCACCTGAGCTATACCTCCCCTGCACCAATTGGAAAGAGCATGGCAGCCCCAGAGACCAGGCAGCAGCCTCCTCTACTGCCCTATCTCATGCAGCACCAGTGACCACCAAAGCCATAGGCACCCCCTGGATTGACTGGGGAGAGGTAAGGCCCTGATCCTGCACCAACTGGGAAGAAGAGCAACCACATGAGTCACAGGCCCCACCTGCACCAATTGTAAGAAGAGTGACCCAGAGCTCCACCTGTACAAACTAATGGAAGAAATGGGTAGACAGCAGTGTAAGAACACATTAAACAACATAAACAACAATATGATACCACCAGAACCTAGTTATGCTACAACAACAAGACCTGAACATCCCAAAGCAGATGATCTAGAAGAAAACGACCTTAATAACAACTTTATGAAGATGATAGAGGCCCTAAAAGAGGAAATGAAAAATTCCCTTAAAGAAATGGAGGAAAAGACAAACAAAGAAGTGTAGGAAATCAAGAAATCCTTTAAAGCCAAGAAACCCAAGGAAAAACAAAGAGGTGAAGGAAACAGTTTAAGACTTGAAAATTGAAACAGAGGCAATAAAACACAAACTAAGAGAATTCAGGAAAAGGAAAATCTGAGTGAATGAACAGGAACTACAGAGGCATGCATAACGAACAGAGTACAAGAGATGGAAGAGAGAATCTCAGACTTTGAGGATACGATACAGGAAATAGATTCATTGGTCAAAGAAAATGTTAAATCCAGCAATTTTTTTATTTTAACACAAAACATCAAGGAAATCTGGGACACCATGAAAAGACCAAACCTAAGAATAATAGGGATAGAAAGAGAAGAATTCCAGCTCAAAGACACAGAATATATATATTCAACAAAACCGTAGAAGAAAATTTTCCCCACCTAAAGAAAGACGTGCATGTGAAGATACAAGAAGCTTATAGAACACCAAATAAACTGGACCACAAAAATGCCCTCTCATCACATAATAGTCAAAACAATAAACATACAGATAAAGAATATTAAGAGCAGCAAAGGAAAAAGGTCAAGTAACATAAAAAGGCAGACCTATCAGAATTACACCTGACTTCTCAATGGAAACTGTGAAAGCCAAGAGGTCCTGCACAGACATTCTGCAGATACTAAGAGACCATGGATGCCTGCCCAGACTACTATACCCAGCAAAACTTTCAATCACCATAAATGGAGAAAACAAGATATTCCATGACAAAACCAGATTTAAACATGTACCACAAGTCCAGCCCTATAGAAAATACTAGAAGGAAAATTCCAACCCAAGGAATTTAGCTGCAACTGCCAAAACACAGGCAATAGATAGCCTTACACCAGCAAATCACAAAGAAGAGAAACATACACACAATACCACCACCAACAACAAAATCAAAAATAACAAGAATTAACAATCACAGGTCATTAATATCTCTTAATATTAATGGATTCAATTTGCCTATAAAAAGATACAGGCTAACAAAGTGGATACGAAAACAGGATTCATCCATCTGCTGCATACAAGAAACACAACTCAACCTCAAAGACAGACATTACCTCAGATTAAAGAGTTGGGAAAATATTTTCCAATCAAATGGACCTAAGAAACAAGCTGGTGTAGCTATCCTAATATCTAAGAGAATAGACTTCAAACTAAAATTAATAAAAAGTGATGGAGAAGGATATTTCATATTCATCACAGGAAAAATTCATCAAGATGAAGTCCCAATTCTGAACATTTATGCCCCAAATACAAGGGCACTTAGATTTGTAAAAGAAACATTACTAAAGCTTAAATCACACATTAAACCCCACACACTAATAGTGGGAGACTTTTAACACCCCCCTCTCACCATTGGATAGGTCTGCCAGATAGAAACTTAACATAGAAACAAGGGAACTAACAAAGGTTATGACTCAAATGGACCTAACAGACATCTATTGAACATTTCACTCAAACACAAAAGAATATATATTCTTCTCTTGTCAATTCAGCATAACCTGTAACATTTTTATATGGATTATCATCTTCACTGCCAATCTTAGGCAAAATTGTGCAAGATGTAAAGATAGTTTTTCATTATCCATTGTCCAATTTCAGAGCTCCACTCCAAAATTAAACTGACTTCCTGTCTCCCATATAACCCTGACTTAGTGTAGCTTTCCTTTAATATTTTATTCCCACACACACACTTCAAATTTTATTTCCACTATGCACAGTCCATGAGGGATGCCCAATAATGTAGATAGATACATTAAAACTGCCCTATGACTTTCTTCCCCAGAGCTTAAAATAATCCAACAGATAAGGCAGCAGCATTAGAACTAATAGTATGTTTTCAAGTGGCCACTGAAGCAATTTAATCTTCATCATTTGGACTTCACCTTTACTGTCATGTACATTGCTGGCATTTGCAAAGTTAGGATGAATAGACAAAACAAAATCCATTGGAAGGAGAAACTAATCTTCTTGTATGTTTCATCCTGATAAGGGATAGATTCCATTGTTTTAATAAATACAGCCTAATGATGACAAACCAGAATTTATTCACCATTTATTCAGTGCTTGTCTTATGCTGGGCACTACACAAGGCACAGGGCACATGGTATCCCCAAAGTCAGGACACAATCCTTAAGGAGTGGTAAGTAGAATGGTCTGTAAGATCTTAGTAAAGTATAGGGCACATGATGTAAAAATAGTGAGTTCTTTAATTTCAGTTTTGCAGAGAGGAGTCTAATCTTTTCTCTTGGTCCATAAAGAATTGCTTGCAGTAACTGCAATGCAACTGTTCAGTCAAGCTGCTTTATATTAATTATTTCATTTGCTTGAAGAAATAGAAATCATCTAGTTTTCTCCTTATGCAATTAAAAAGACTTCTGAACATTAAGTATTGGGTTTAAATAGTTTTGTTAGGGTACAAACAAACATCTTATTTGCAAGAATTGAAATAAAATCAGTATGATTGCTAAAATGCTTTCATAAACTATGTGTCAATAGAGCATACCTCAGTAGATATCAAGTCTTTTTTTTTAAGATTTACTTATTTATTATGTATACAGTGTTCTGTCTGCATGTATGTCTGCAGGCCAGAAGAGGGAGCCAGATCTCATTACAGATGGTTGTGAGCCACCGTGTGGATGCTGGGAATTGAACTCAGGAACTCTGGAAGAGCAGCTAATGCTCTTAACCGCTGAGCCATCTCTCCAGCCCGATATCAAGTCTTAACACAGTTAGTAGTACCTCTCATTTCTATATAGAGAATAGGGTGTATATACAGTGGTCTAGTGCATAATCAGATATTTACTGAAGACTTGAATTTCTAATATTTCTGGCCACTGTGTTTTAAGTAGTGGTAATTACTGTAAAGCGAATTCTGAATTATATTAGACAATTATAACAACAATTTTGTAGAGATTTTTCAAAGGGGAGAATTCTAGAAACAAACTTAATGTTATCTGGTTACAGCCAACTTACAGTTCTTGTTGAAGCTGAAAAACAGCTAAATTGCAGTCTTAGGGATTAACACATTTATTTGTGAATGAAATAGAGGAAATACAATTTCAATAAACATCTTCAATCAGGAATTCCTGGCTGTACTGACTGAATCATACAGCATACAAATTTATATCCTAATTTTATAGGCTATCGAGACCTTTGTCACCATTTTATGTTTTCAACATAGAATATATACAAGTTCTTTCATAATTGTTTTCTCATACAATGTGCTAATATAGAACTATTGTTTCAGTAGTAAAATGTGGCTATAAAAGATTATAGGCAAAGCTCTACATACCATAGGAACCTGTTTTAGGGCAACTCATGATTTTGTAAGTGTGTATCTTGCCATTTTAAATTAAATTATATTATTATAGTTAGTACATACCAAAAGACACTTAATTGTCAGCTAGGTGTTGGTGGCAATGGTTAGTTAGTTGTTGGTATCTGAGAGTAGCATTGCTTCATACCTCTGTACTTCCTAAAGTAGTATAAGTCCTTTGGATCCTTAATTACAAATTCTTCTCATGAAATAAGCTCTTTGATATTCTCTGAGTCCTTTACATTCTTGATTTTAAGGAAAATAATGCTTCAATATGCATTTACATGTAGTCTGCTCATTTTTGATAGTCCTGAGATGTAGCAGCTTTAAAAAACAAAGATGTCTTGAATGCAGTCCATGTTATACAGTAACATAGCTTACATCTTTAGTATACTGCCTGTACTTCTCATAAAGAATTTGCCATTTTTCCATTCACAAAGAATTAATCTAATTTCACACATAACATACATAGAGATGATTTTTTATTGCAAATAACTGCAGTGTAATTTTAACGAATCAAAAGGATAACAAAATATTGCACATTGTAGAAATGGTAGGCTTTTTATCATCCAGTGTGCATGTGGAGTCCATGATCTCATGTGTCAGTCATCTCCATGAATCTTGAGATTGTCTCCTTTGCTGCTTCTGCCAGCTGGCCCAGAGTTTAGGGATTCCCATCTCTACCTCCCATCACCCTGTAGGCACAATGGGATTAGACACACAAGACTACTTGTTTATGCAACTATTACCCATTGATACCCCACACTCCCATTTGGTAATTTGTGTTGAGGACTTTTATACTCTAGGCACTAAGATCATAACTTTTCTGAGCTTATTTCCAAAAGGAAAGCTGTCTAGCATTCTCTCTAGGTGATGCTTGATCTATATGGACTAATCTATAAGAATATTTGCAGAGGAAAATTATCAAGTAAAAGAAACTATAATGGGAGATAGCTACAATTGGCAGTTAATGAACATGCACTATAATAGCTGAGGAGAGAAAATGAAAGCACTTTAAAGAGAGTTCATGGGAAACAGATAGCAGACATGGTGTTGAGCATGCTTCTAACCTCTCACTTTGCTTGGTGCTAAGGCACAATTCCACTGTGTTTCATTATGGCTGATGAAGTGCTTGCTAGCATTTTCCAGTGTAAAATTATTTCTTTCCAAGAACCTAGTTCATACAGTGGCAAATGGGTTTATTAACCACCACATAGGTTGGGTATTTTAGAAAATAAGATGTACTAGATACTCTCACAAAAATGGGAACTGTTGCCATGTAGCCTTCTTAAATACAAAGCAAAGATGCATATCTTTAGATCCAACTGCTGTATGAATGTGTAATATTTTTATATTGATGCTTATATAATCTAGCAACATTAATTTACATGTCTCTGTCTTTGTCTCACATACATAAACATGCACACACATAAATAATACAACAAATATACACACAAATACACATTGCCCTACATAATCCAGAAGGCTTCAGTTCCATAAGGAGCAACAGTTTTCAGGTCTTCTGTGGAAGAAATATTTACTCACAATTTGGGGAACTATTAGAAAAGGTGTCCCACAGCCTTTTCTTGGCTTATTATCATGCTTAGTACTGATACACCTAGATACAACCCAATTACCATTCTTAAAAAATACAACTCAATTTCCTAGTTTCCTTTGCTGGTAGGAATGGTCATGTGACATTGTTGCAACCAATGAGACAAAAGAACCCATAGTGCTTAACTGTTGTGAAAGTTCTAATGCTTCTGAGCTGCTGAGAGTTTATAGAAACCAAGAAGCATCTATCTTAAGCCTGACTGGACTTGGTGCTGGAGAAGAAGTATGAAGCCCACCTAAGAAGACTGGCTTTAGATGTTCTGTGGTCCAAATGCTCAGGTTAGTTTCCAGCAATTCCTCTATTCCCATGTAGTTTAACATCATAGCCCTAGTGGGAAAGAACTAAACACTGGGTGACTGTTGTTTTTGGAACAAGACAAGTCTGTCCACTCTCTCCATACCTATCCAATATAGTACTAGGTCAATAGTACTAGAACAATTAGACAACTGAAGGATATCAAGTAGATACAAATTGGAAAGGAAGAAGTCAAAGTATTATAATCTCAGATGGTATGATCGTATACATAAGTGGTCACAAATGTTTTACCTGCGAACACCTACATCTGATAAACACCTTCAAGTGTCTAGATACAAGATTAACTTTAAAAAAATTCAGTGTCCCTCCTATATACAAATGTCAAATGAATTGAGAAAGAGATCAGGGAAACAAGACCATTTTCAAAAGCCATGAATTATATAACATATCTTAGGGTAACTCTCACCAGGCAAATGAAAGACTTGTATGACATATCTTCAAAGATATCAAAGAAGAAGATATCAGAAGATGGAAAGACCTCCAATGCTCATGGATCAGTAGGATTAACAAAGTAAAAATGGCCATCATACCAAAATCAATGCACAGATTCAATGCAATCCCCATAAAAATTCCTTCATAATTCTTTACAGTCCTAAAGGACAATATTCAACTTCATAAGGAAAAAACAACAACAAAAAACCCATGATAGTTAACACAATACTGAACAATTAAAGAATTTCTGGAGGTATTACTGTCCCTGATTTCAAGCTGTACTACAGAACCATAGTAAAGAACAAAACAAAACAGGGTATTGGCAAAAAAAATAGACATGTTGATCAATGGAATTGAATTGATGACACAGGCATAAATCCACACACCTATTGACACCTGTGTTTTGATAAAGAAACCAGAAATACATAATGGAAAAAAGAAAGCATCTTCAACAAATGTTGCTAATGTAACTGGCTATTGGTATGTAGAAGCTGCACGACAGTGGGAGTGGGGCGTTTCTACTCTTTTGGAACACTTTCCTCCTAGTGGGTTGCCTTATAGTCTTGATGTGAGGGTTATGTCTCATTGGAATTTATCTTGTGACATGTTTGGTTGATGTTCCTGGGATGCCTGCTCTTTTCTGGGGGAGACATGACAGACAGTGGATTTGGATGAGGGCGTGGGTAGGGAAGTGGAGTGAATAGTGGAAGTGGGTAGTAAATAGTGGAGGGAGGGGAAGCTGCAATAAGGCCATATTGTGTGAGAAAATAAATACTGCTTTTTTTTTTTAAAAAAAAGGATATATTGTATAATTTTTTCAATAAAAAAGAAGGGTTCATTTAAGCTCCCAATTGAGAGTATATGGCTATCTCAGCATTGCTGGGAATGCCAGGTAGCAAGAATGAGAGGCATCAGGTCACATTCTATCTGCAATTGGTAACAAAGTAGGTGAATGATGATGTCCTTCTCACTTCCTCCTTTTTACTCAGTCTGGAACCCTAACTCAAAGAATGATAATCTGCACAATCAGGATGGCTCTTCAAACATTATTTGAATCTCTGTGAAAATACCCTCACAGACCTACACAGTGGGGTTTCTTCTCAGCAATTCTAGGTCCCATCAAGTATACCATGAGAATTATCCATCACAGTTACCCTGAACACTGGACTTTTACATCAGTGTTCCACCTGCTTCCCCAAATATATTAATTTCATAATGCAAAATGATACCCTCAGATAAGTGTATCTATCACCCCTCATTGAAAAAAATTCTCTTTAGAGAAAAAGGAGACCATCACTGAAAACCACAACTGGACACATGTGGAAATCAGATCATGGAGAGCCTCATCCCAATAGATACATCTACATCACAGCTCCTACATTTGTGGCTCAGGGAACATCTCAGAAGAGTAGGCAGAAAAATTGTAAGAGCTAGAAAAAGGCTGTAGTGTTGGTAGTTTTACTATCATACAGGCTATCTTTAAGATGGCATTCCAAAGCCCAGTGGCGGTGGTGGTGCACACCTTTAATCCCAGCACTCGGGAGGTAGAGGCAGGTGGATCTCTGTGAGTTCAAGGCCAGCCTGGTGTCCAAAGCAAGTTCCAGGAAAGGCGCAAAGCTACACAGAGAAACCCTGTCTCAAAAAAAAAAAAAAAAAAAAAGATGGTATTCCAATAACTATTACTGGGATAGGCAATAAAAAGGCCATTTTGGCTGTAACCTTTACAGGATCCAATAGATTGAAAAAAATCAACATAATTCTCAGGGAAGTTCTCTTAATTCTAATGATCAATTGCTAACATTTTCTAAGCAAAATGGGTATAATATGGCTTCTCCCACATGAACCTTTATAACCCACAGAAAGGGGAATATAGTAGGATTTTCACAAACAAAATAAAACAAACAAAAATGTTCTATCCGAAAGATAGTTGTTTACAAGAGGGAAAGTTGCCTTAGCATGCAAGCAACATCATTCTGTGTCCTGTTAACAGGTGTGTCTTTTATCACTTTTCACAAAAGGCATTTGGATTATGCCTTGGCAGGCTGAGAATTAACATATAATAGAGTCAGTAAACATAACAACATCATTTTTGTGGGTAGGCATTATTGTATCCTTGTTGTTTCACCAAAGTCTTGGCTTGATTTAAAATCTTGAGGTCTCCCCAAGGCATCTTCTTACTCTTTCTCATGGGGTGCTGGTCTTGATGGATTTGTAAACTCCCTTCATACATTTCATTTGTCTGGTGGTCTCCTGGATGCTGTCCTGGTCAGATGCATTGAAGTGGATGACACCTGTGACTTGGTACAAATTCTGGAAAGACACAAAGACATAAAGCCCTTACCACTAATTAGTTTCTAGATCTTTAGTTTAACATACACTTATCCTGTGTCTCCTTTAGGTCAAAATGCATTTTGGCATCAGCAGGAGCATTATCTTTTAAAATTAGCATAACTAAATATAGCATAGTAATTGGAAATTTAGGTATGTGAACATACCTGTTTTTAAAATTAAAATTTTGGAATTAAGTATTTGATGAATAGTAAGGGCTTTAGGAATATTAATATTTTAAAAATCAATTGCTAGTATAAGTACGGTGATCATCACTTTCAGTTGTAATGAGTCCTAGAGAGGACATACATAAAGAATTGTACAACAAAATCAAGTTCTAGATATGATATAATGGTATTTTTCTGGAGATCCTTGAGCCTCATGCCATGCCTTGGGCTGTACACTACAGATTAATAGTAGGAGGTGAATTCCAACATATATTACTACAAATTTGAGAGCAGAGAAGTTTCAAGACATAGACATATGTAGTTATAGACATCAAGCTGATGTTCATTCACTACTAATTATGTACTAGAGGCTTGGAAATCTATAAAACGATATGTTTATACTGTGTAAAAGATCATGAATAGAAAGGCTCTCTTTAACTACTTCTCTTTCCAGAGTCTGATCATTTATCACACACACAAAGGTGATTAAATGAAAAAGGTCAACTCTGATCTTATGATAAAATTACTTTCAATATTTCCTTTGAAAGTGACATCAGACCATGTCTGGTAGATTTCTTTTAAGCCTAGTATCCAGAAGTCATAGACAGGCAGAGCTGTGGAAGTCTGAGGCCAGCCTGTTTGCTCATGGAGTTCAGGTACAACAGAGCTACAATGTGAGACCTTGTCTCAAAACAAAAGGTAAAAACCAAATATACAAAGCAAGAGATGTCAGAACAAGGATATAGGCATTTCTGTAGACATGGAAGGTTGTCATGGGCTCTGGTTATTTCATCTGTACCTCTGGTAGGCATGAGGTGATGTGGAGGTGTTTTGACCCTTGTGTTTCTGAAATTTTTAGAGCCTTGGGTGGCTCTATGACCTCTCCCAGAGGCAGACTACAGGTGCAAAACAGCAGCACAAGCAACTTGAACTAAACCTTTCAAAGAACATTCTAATACCAAAAGAGTAAGACACTAGATGAGTATCTAGGGGCTTACAAATGGTCATGGCTGGGGTGAGGCCACAAAGTATAAAGTAGCAGGACTTTGCCCCAGACTGGTTTGGCAGGAGGCATGTGAATGATGAAACCCCTGTTCTGATGTAACATCTACCATCCAGCGTGCTCCAGGGTACCTGTTATGGCCAACAGACATCCTAGGAAATCATATAACAGTGTAGGCTTGAGCCCTGGAAGATGTCAGAAGTCCAGATGCAGGACTGGCAGGAATGGGCCTGGCCTGTTGCCTCTGAGTCTCCTCCAGCCTCTACCCATGGTGCACCTGACTCCTTGTTACCACTGCCCACTTGCCCTGTACCTCTTTTCTAGAGACAGGGACAAGTCTCAGAAACCGGGCATTCACTTGAAGACACCTAAAATCAATCTAGATGAAAATTTCCACAGCAGCCTACATTACTATGGCAACTTATATAGAAAACTCCCCCCCCCCTCTCTCTCTCTCTCTGTGTGTGTGTGTGTGTGTGTGTGTGTGTGTGTGTGTGTGAATTTCTTGCACAGGGTCATGCTAATCTCTGTATCATTCCAATATATATGATGCTGAAGTGAGCACTGCAGAAAAGGTTTTTAAACAACTGAATGAATAAATGAATAAAAAATAGAGAATGAAGAGAATGAATGAAGGAATGCATGGAACTGAGAAAATAAAAAGAAAAGGGGAGAGTGAATGAATGGGTAAATGGGTGAAACAATCAAAGCAACTATGAATTAAGACTGGGACCCAGAGACTTCCAAGTTTCTCCATCAGTAGTCAGGGTGATTACAAAGGGGCAGGCCTCTATCTGGAAGTGAAAGTGCCAGGAAGGGGGCAGGTCTGTGGGCAGGGTCAATGGCACGCTGTCACTTCTCATGCCTGTGGGTGGGAGGAGATGAAAGACTGGACTAAGGATAATTCAGCTATCCAAACAACTGCTGCAGTGGATATGTCTTGCATCTTGTCTGTCCCCGGATTTATACAACCAGGTAAGAAAACTGCTCAGAGTGGGATACCTTTTCTGCTTGTGGATTCAGAAACTCAGGAAGGCATATAACACACCTCGGAGATGGTGCCTGCTCTATGCTATGCTCCTGGGTGGGCCACATGCGTTTTGTAGGCATGGGAAGGCCAGAAAAGATGACAACAGCCAATGTGACTTCAGCATAGGATTACTGAGCTCTTTGCAAGTGCTTACAAGGGCACCAACCAAGCTGAGGTATCTCATATAATGACCAACCACAGCCCTTGATCCATCCTTTGTGGACCTGTAAGGAACCTGAGGATGAGGAAGATGCAGAAGGGGGGCAGGCGGACTCTTACATATGCCTCTTCCTCTCTCACTTGAATCCTGGTCCTCTCTTTAGTGAGTGGGCAGAGCTAGCACAGCCCTCATGCAGGCACCTGGATCCCCAGTGAGAATCTTGAAAATCTACCAATGAAGCAACCCAGGGTACAGAAATACCCCCAAACAATCCAGTTTTAGTTTTTCCTGCTTAGGGAGTGTCCCTGATTGCTCAATATTTGAGATCTCAGTGCTTGACTTCAGAACTCACTATCCCAAAGGAAAAAAAAAATCCCAGGTTACAGGTTGCCATTTGAGCCCAGGAAGCTTGGGTTAGCTAGAGTGCCTGTTTGTAATTGGCTCCAACATAAAGATGGCTAGACTGAACACTCTTGACCCAGCAAACAGTATACGCACTTGCCTGCCCCAGTTTTCTTCCTCCTCTGCTAAGAAAAGTGAAGTGATGTCTGTTTCATCCTCCCGAAAACCTTGTACATCCTCAGTTCCCAAAATAATCCTCATGGTCCTGTCTTGTCTCTTCATTTTCCCTTTCCTCCACTAGGCCAAGTGGGAGTCAGAAGCAGCTAGACTCAGAGGCAATTGATTGTGTACAATTCAGTAGCCAGTAGAGACTGGACCTTAGGTAGAACATGCTAGTAGAGGGCTAGTACTGGGCTCTGGAGATGATTGACAGAACAGAGGCATTGGAATACCAGATGAGAGATGCTGGAATGCAGGGGGTAACTGCCTTAATCTGCTTTTTGGAAATAGTTGGTCTTGGGTGGGGACTGACAAAGAGACTCCATCCTATAAGTGGGAGACAAGAAACCAAGCATTTTGTACTTTGTGCCTTGATCACAAAACCTTAGCCTAAAATCTCAAAGTTTTGGTAGCTCCATGCACACTGCCCTCCTTTGTTAACCTGAGCTCCAGCCTTGACCAGGTCTGGTTAGAGACAGGTGCTGTGTTTATGTGGAGAAGCATCAGGAATGCCCAGAAGAGCTCTTTCCTCCTTTGGAGCTGGGTGGACTGTGAGAAGTGCAGAAGTAGGAAAAGTGGGAGATGGGAAGACTTCGGGGGAGAGGGAGGTGACTGCAGGACAATGACCCAGAGAGCAGGCCATGGCCAATGGGATATCTAAGTGGTTCCTCCCTTCAGTAGAAACTCACTGTCTACAACAAATGCTGGCTCCTTCCTGACTAAGCAGCCCCTCCCTAGCCCAGACAGGCCTTTTAGCCTTGTTGTTCAAGGCAGCTCTCTAGGTCTAGTCCATTTAGCCCTGGCTTTTGTTTTCACCACCTGATATGAGGAAACCTCAAGCCTAGAATTTCTCATTAGAATAGCCTGGTTGCTCTTAAGTTACAAATCTTGTCATCCCCCACCACATCAAATACATTTTTGCACTGAACAAAACTCCCCCTTGGAGCTATACCTAGCAAATCATTTCTGACCAGGGCCCATGAGGCTTGTGCAGGTTGAGGAATAGCCCTCTTGGTTCCCGGGTAGGACAGCAGTTCAATATGCCATGCTGTCTTCTTGCTCTCATCCTTTCCTTGGAATGTGTGACATACATTGTTGTTGGGTGGATCTCCAAAACTGGTTCTTCCTTTCTTCCCTGTTGTGGGGAGGTGGGTAGCTGAGCTTTGGAAAACCCATCTGCATTGCTCCAGCAGTTTTCAGTTTATATTTGAGCTGCATATTGCCTAGTAAAGCCCTGGAAAGGGGGTAGGTTGGGACCAAGCTGCATAAGGAGGCTATTTTTTTGTCAGCATGGTACCCAGTGACCACCCAGCCAAGAATTTTCATAGGGCCAGCCATAGGTACACAGAGCTCCCATATCCAGAATCCTGGCTTCCTGTGACAATGCCTTGTTTCTTGGCCCAAGCTCCTTCTTACTGTATCTATTTTGTAGGGTAGGTAGTCACAGGTTGATGCATTCATTCTAACCCCGTGACTCCCAGCATACCCTCTCTGGCCTTGGCCCTGATACTAGCCTTCTCCTCCTCCTCAAGGATGCCATACCTTGCAGTAATTCATGAATCACCAGTGGTGCTATTCTCTTTTTTTTTTCCCCTAGAAATCCTTTACATTCAGAACACCCTTGCCAAGTTAAGTAGAAAGAGGAGGCTATATCTAGATACCTGTTTGTGATGGGGCTGCCATCCACAACAGCCAAATGAGAGGCCATAGGAAGCCATCTGCCAGACATAGAGCCAGAAGCTGCAATAAAAAGATGAATGAGTAAGATGCAGCCTCTGCCCACGAGATGACCACAGACTGTGTTGGGAGAAATCACAATCTCCTAATTATACAGTTTGATGACAAGAATTGGATGGAAGGGGGATTTAATGTCTTTGTGGAACAGGAAAGGACATCTTAATACAAGGGATAACATCTTAATTCAGCCTTAAAGGAGGACATATTCAGGGTGACTGCCCTGTCTCCTCTCTGTCTTTCCTCTCCAACCCAACCCCTGCAGATCAACCCTGGAGGATAACACAGATCTCTCCAGTGGATGAAAGACTAAGAACATAGCTCTCT